GAGGTGGAAAGAACCCCAGCCTTGGGCTGTAACTGCCCTATTTGAGCAATTTGTCCTGAGTTGGCACTCTCAGTTGGGTTCCGCCAGAACCGCTTTGTCACACCCATGTTTTTTGCAAATGTGAAATAATATGAAAAAAAGCAAAAAACTCACCCTCCAGTGGCAGCTCCTGTCCTGTGGAGCTCAGGCTGGCTCCCCACTCTGAACGGGGGGGCCCCCCGCCAAACCTGAACAGCACTGCAACCCTGTGTGCCAGGCCACCACACCCTGAGTCGAGAGCCAGGCCCAGCTGCGCTGCACAGGACCCCAGAAGCTGCTTCTGTGGGGTGAGTGCAGGGCAGGCTCCGGGGTGCAACACTCACCTCCCCCAGAGCCTCCCAACCCCTGGTGGCAGGACTCAGCCCCCCTCCGAGGCCTCCCAACCCCCAGGGCAAGACCTGATCCCCTACATGGATAACATTAACAAAACAAAAATAATAAGAAATTCCCAAAAAAATAAAATAAACAATTATTAAAAGAATTCAAGAGGCTCCACTTACAGACTGTGATCAAGTCACCCCTTAACCTTTGCTTTATAGATTGAGCTGCTGGAGTCTCTCATTGTAAGGCACATTTTCCAAGCCTTAAATCATTCTCGTGGGTCTTCTCTGACCCCTCTCCAACCTACCAACATCCTTCTGGGATTGTGGACACCGGAACTGAACACAGGATTCCAGTAGCAGTCGCACCAGTGCCAAATACAGAGCTACCATAACTTCTCTCCTCCTGCTCGAGATTCCTGATTCTCCCAGGAATCAGCCTTGCTCGGCTTCATAACGACGTTGCTCTCACCTGTCTGACAGATCTCCAAAGATGATGCCTCCCGCCAGGATCCCAGCCATGTAGATGGACTGAGCCATCTGCTTCAGCTGCCGGGAGTCACACACCAGGTCCCACTGTAAGGGAGAGAGGAAACGAAGCTGGGCTCCAGGAGGAAGACTGGCTTGTGGTTAAGGCCCCAGAGTGGGGCTGAGATTTCCAGAGCCATTAATGGCTTTTAGACAGCCAGTTCCCATAGCAATCCTTACAATTCATTTAAATTTGTTAATTACAAGTCCACAGCTACCTACGTTTAATGGGAAATGTGATCTGCAGGACATCACAGCCTGAATCTCTCTGAGCCTCAATGTCCATTATCTGTAAAATGAGGGAGGATCATCCTGGTCTCTAGCTTTCTTCCTGTGTAGCACCCAGCAGAGCTGGGCCCCAATCTCAGTTGGGGTCCACAGAGCACCCAGCACAGTCTGAGTTGGGGTCTGTGCAGTGTCCAGTGCAATGGGTCCCTGATTGGAGCTGGGGTTCATGCAGTATCCGCACAAGGGTTCCCCAGTCTGAGCTGGGCTCTGTGCAGTGGTAGGCACAACAGGGCTCCACTCTCAGCTTGGGTCTGTGTAGCATCTGGCACAGTGAGTCTCCGAACTCAGCTGGGTCTCTGCAGTACCTGTCAGAATGGGTCCTTTCGATGTTAATGTAGGATCAAATATAATGATCCCACGTGAAGCGGATGGTTTTGAATGGAGTGAGCATTCAAGAGACTGGGACCCCTACTCCTAGCTCTGAAACTGACTTGCTGTGACCTTGGGCAAGTCATGCTGCCTCGCTGTGCCTCAGTTTCCCTCAGCTGTGAGATGGGATAGTAAGGTTTAGTCACTATTGTAAAGCCCTTTGAGATCTAGGGGAGAGCAGGCCTAGCTCTTAGCATCATTCACAGTTCCTTTAATGCGGATTAGTGGATTATGTCCAGTTTAATTGAGAGGAAACTGACTGCAAAATGGACGGGGGAATTCCCACCCCAACGAGTGCAACCACAGCTTCCTCCTGCTCATACACTGAAGGAATCAAGCCTCTGTGAAGCGCAAAGGCCGTGTCCTGCTTTCCTTTACACCTGTGCAATGGCAGCCACATGAAGCCGCATGGATTGAAGTCTCCTGGGGGGCCAGAATGTAACCGAGAACAGCACGTGGCCCTGGATGAAATTCTGCACTGCCTTAGGCTGAAACCAAGCCGATGTCAATAGACATGCAGGGGCTGTAGGTTGGTGCAAATTTTAAGATCAGATCTAGGAAGAGGAGGATTGATAGATAGATACGCTGACCCTCTCTGCCCAGAGGACAGTGAAACTTACTTGCAAAAATCTATGAAAAGGCATGATTCTAAAAAAAATATTTTCAACTCATCCACCCCATGGTTTCAGCATCCTTTTCCCAGCTGGTTACCCGCGCTGCAGCAGGTCTTGCTCTCACGTACCTCTGTAATGATGGTGCTGGTGAAAATGCTCTTGTCGTACACCCACCCATCAGCGCAGGGTTCAGTCTCCAGCTCGGTTAGGTTTGTGACTGTGGCGTTGGAGTCTAGGAGCTGCCACTGCGTGGTGACAAAGCGGTGACACTTCTCTGGCTGCTGGTTGCTGTCCATGGGGACGGAGACCCTGAGGAGGTCTTTGGCAGCGAGCTTTCCGGTGAGGTTGGTGTAAAGAGTGTTGTTGATGTTGATATGGACATGGCAGTGGTGTTCAGAAGTGGCAGCAGTGAAGTTCTGCAGGAGGTTATGGCTGGCCATCATGAAAACTGGGATAGCCAGTAAGATCGTATAGATGATTTGGAAGCGACCCATCCCCCCGACGTGGTCTAAGAGCTCGGCAAAATTCATGGTGCCGGATTGGAAGATTCAGCACTAACCGTCTGGGTTAAGCAAAAACGATGGGGCTTGAATAACCGACGTTACCTGAATAGGTCGATTACTTGTAAAAATTAAACGTTGTGCAATGAAAATATTTACACAGAAAGACGTTAATTTGAATCCAGCTTGTATTCCACTTCACAACTTCAAAGACAGCCATAAAGCACAGCACTCCTTACAAAAAGTCAGCTGTTGGCAAATAGTGTCCATAGATTCTTGAGGGTGTAGTTTCCACAGAAGAGGCATTGAGTTATATTCTCCCTAAATAACTGAGTGTGCTACCACATTGCTTCTCCTTTGTTGCAAAAATTCCCATGCAACCATTCCTAGTTTCCTGTCAGCTGCGGGAAAACTCCACACACCTTTTCTATGAACGGTAGACACATAAGGGAATGGTTTTGCCAAGTTTAATTCCACGTTGATCCTTGCATTTTACCTCTGGAAAAATAGGTGGGGTTTATATATCGCTCGGAGGGTTATATAAGGCCTTAAGCAGGTCACTTGGTTAAAATTTAACTTTGTTTTGCATGGATTAAATCCAAAAAAGAGAGAGAGTCTGAAAGCAATGTGCTAGATACGGCGCTGAATGCATCCAGTGCAGCGGTGACAAACACACTGATCCAAGCTGCTAAACCACATTGCCTTTGGGTGAGTATATTATTCACACCACAGGGCTAGAAATTACCTATAGCTAAAAAGGATCCAGATTTAGCTGAGATACCACAAGCCCACCTCTGTCCTGAGTAGAGTGATCAGACAGCAAATGTGAAAAATCGGGATTGGGGTGGGGGGTAATAGGACCCTGTATAAGAAAAATACCCAATAACTGGGACTGTCCCTATAAAATTGGGACATCTGGTCACCATAGTCCTGAGTCATCACTATTCTTAAAATACTACCTGGATATACCCAGCTGAGATTGGGGCCCCGTTGTGCCAGGGATTGTACAACCCCATAGTGCGAGCCATCCCTGTCCCAAAGCGCTTACAGTCTAAATAGACAAGACAGACCAAAGGGAGTGTTGTAATTAGCGTTGGTCTGAAAAATTTTAGCAAAAGGTTTTTGCAGGAAATGTTCTGCAGGAAAGTGTCGTTTTTGACAAATGTCTTGACTCTAAAACATTTTAAGAAAAAAGATTTGAAGAAGAAAAATTAGAGATGACAAATTTCAGGTTTTCAGGGTAAAATGACTTTTTGTTTAGAAATTTGAGCTAATTACAGAAAAAATGTTTGGAAAATACAAAATGGTTGAAAGATAAACAAAATGTTTCAACTGACCCAACAAAAGTGGCGCATACGCTTGTGCTGGGCCCACTACAGAGAGACACGGGGCGAGCCAAAATGACTTGCCCAAGCGTCTGTAACTTAACTGGGGATGGAGCCCTGAATTCGTAAGTCCTCATCTTATGCATTAACTCTGAGGCCATTCTTCCTCACAAGGCGGCTCTTGCTGTGGTGTAGTTTTGATGTCTGATGAGTGTCTTGGTATGCCCAGTACTGCCAGAGTCAGCCTAGTTGGCTGATTGGCTTAGTGGAGGTGTCCTTTGTTTGTTCCATGCTGCCACTCATGCCTTGCAGCTGAAGTGCTAGGGGTCTCAATCAAGCCATTTGGGGGGTTTTAACGAAGGATAATATCTGAGTAAAAAAGAAATGAGATATGATTCTAAGACTGTTGTGTTATGGGTTGTTGTTTGTCTTGGTTCCCAGGTACCAGTGACTGGCATAGATAGATTGATACATATGGGGATGGGGGGATGTGCATGTGTAAGCGGGGGAA